TGTCCTTGTGACACCTTCCTTTCAATGCAAAGAGTGTATCTGGTGCAGACAATGTGCAGTCTCCCATGAATGTTTTTATTTTACTTTCTCATTACTAAGTTTTTGTTTTGTTCTCTTGACAATATGTCTTGTTTTCACTTACTTTTTACCAGGTCTGGTTTTACTAATTTTTCATGAGGTTCTAGTTTCAGTGACATTTTTAAGGTTCTGGTTTTATTTACCACAAACTTCTAGTTCCACTGTCTTACCACTAGACTGATTCTGGTTTCTCAAATAAGTTCTCAACTAAACAAACATACAGTCATTTCATTATGATTATACTTGATGGATTATGAACAATATTGCACATTTCTCTTGTGTGAAAGTACTTAAATTTGATTATAATAATGTCCAACCATTTTGAATATAATTTTACATTTCAAAAGAAGTTAAGAAATAAATGTTTGAACTGTTTTAATTATATAAAGTGTCTTATCCATTCGTAATTATACAATTCTTCTTTCTCATCAGCCTCTAGACCTTCTTCTCTTAATTTTGCTTCACTCCTTAGAGTTAAGGAGAAAGCCTGTTGAGAGTTTACTGCGGAACAAAATCAGAGCAGGAAATTTTACTGAAGTGTTACTTCAGGTTACCTTTGGTAGCCATTCAGAGGTAGGGAAAATACTAGTAAATATTTGCCTTTGTAAATGATTTCACAAATATAAATTTCATTTGTTAAACATGCCTGTAACCTTAAAGTAGTAAACGTGAATCTCTATTATCTCTAAAACACCCATTTGTTGCACCTGTTGTGTGGTTTGGTATACTGCTTTACAAAAACAAAACAACTATTGGATGAAATAGTTTGAAAGTTGAGATAAACTCTTTATAGATTATGTAGCTTCTTAAAAATCAAATATTTTTGTGTGTCATATATGTATAAGTTGAAAGTTTTGAATATTAAAAAATATTACCATGTGATATGTTTTTCAAATAATGAATACAAATTCTTACATTTGTTGCAGATTTCATTTACTGATTTTTGTCTTCCTACATTCTTGTAAAATTTTCGCACAGTTTTTATTTTATATAACTGTAAATTTGATAATGTTTTGATTTGAAATACACCATAAAAGTAACTTTTTTTACCATAACAAATTTATAAGCAAGCAGCTTTTATAAATCATGAATCAGAGTAATTCCTTTAATATATATAATAAGTTTTAAAACCATTTTGTATTGATTTGTATATATTTTTTATATTTCATTTTGGTGATTTTCTTGTTCTGTTCAGTATGTTACTTTGGCTGATAAGCTAATGTAAACAAAGTCTAACAAACAGCAACCTTGTTGACAAAACAAATCTCGATACTGTCAAAGGTAAAGATATCTAACTAAACTTATGTCATCTTTTTCTTGAAAAAAACATTTCTTTTTTCCATCACACAACAATATAATTCAAATAAAGTATAAAATAATAAAGGAAACTTAAAAAATCAGGCTAAGCTTTAATAACTTTATTGTGATCTCCAAGTGATTTTATTTGCTGAAAACTGAAAAACATGTTGGCTTATACATTTGAAAAAAAAAGAGCTTTCATTATGTGGGCCTGGGATGGGCAGGTGGTCAGGGCGCTCGACTCGCAATCGGATGGTCACGGGTTCAAATCCCTGTCACACCAAACATGCTCGCTCTTTCAGCCGTGGAGGCATTATAATGTGATGGTCAATCCCACTATTCATTGGTAAAAGAGTAACCCAAGAGTTGGTGGTGGGTGGTGATGACTAGCTGCCTTCCCTCTAGTCTTACACTGCTAAATTAGGGAGAGCTAGTGCACATAGCCCTCTTGTAGCTTTGCGTGAAATTCAAAACAAACAAACAAAAAATTCATTGTTTTCAGATCACTTGTCTATAACTTCTTAAAACTGTGATTAGCTAAAATTTATAAAACTACATTTTTGTTGAAGTTAAGAGGTGTAACTTGACATTGTTTTGTTCAAAACTACTTTGACTTTCCTTTTTTGGGGTTACGAGTGTTGTATTATCCTTAGACAAATTTAAGGAAATTCCCCAAATAATTTTTTTTTATTGAATTAATTTCAGATTAGTGAAATGACTAGTGATTTATTTTCTATAATGTTTTTAATTCAGTGGTATGATTTTCTTTTGGAAAACAGATGCAACAAGCTGGGCACCAAAGTAGTTGTGTCTGTCTGTGACAAAACTTTCCAACTTTTGAATATTATGAAAGTTTCAAGGCTTTGTTTGGTATGCTCGAGTGGGATTCTAATACCCATTTTTATGAGTTTGACAACCATTTCCATTTTCCACCTTGCTATTGTTTTAGTGCTTATTTCTAGGAGTCTAATTGCCTTGGAAGTTTCAGAGGGTCCTTGGCTATGTCTCATACCTTCGGTGCAAGGAGAAGTACAAGTTATATATATATATTGAAAATAATTAAACTTGCCAGTAGCGAGAATTTATAGAAAACGTTATGCCATTATTCAGTATACATGCATGGCAAATAATGCTTATACACACCACCTCATTCTGTCTTTGAAGTCAACAAAATAAATTGTGCACATGGCAAAATCTTTGCTAGTATTATTAGAAAAAAAACAAAAACAGTGGTTGGGTATTTCAAATAAATAACTTTAGCCATTTAACCCTCTTGCTATGGGTAGGTCAAAATATGCATGTCATGACGTTTTAGAGAGTTACATTTGAAATTTCATTAAACTACTTTATTATCATTGTACACAAATAAACTTGGCATCAAAACATAGTTAATAAATCATATTTCACTATTATACTAGTTTTAAGTTCTTAGTTTTGTAAGGAAATATTTTAAAATATTCTCAATCTATTCTAGTATGAAAATTGTGGCATTTGTTCTCTAGGCCTTCCCTCTTCTCTAACTTGACTACCACCCTTCTGAGAAGCATGGAATTTAATGTAAACTACTTGTTATAATATCAGTATTACTAAGGCAAAGCAGTATTACTAAGCATAATTCTTATATCCTTCAATCTTATTTGTTTACGGAGTCAAACTAGAAAATCAGACCCACTTGCCACACCCACCTGTCACATCCTTTCTTTCACAAACTGCCAATAGGTCTCTCTAACATTTTATACTATATTATTTATAGCCAATAGAAAGCTAAAGTTTTAATCTATCAAATGACATATTCCATTTGATTTTTTTTTGTACAGAGAATTGTCTATTTCATCTTCAGTTTGAAAGTTTCTCTTGCAATATTCACATTGACAAGCTTAGCTAAATTTTTAAAGGCTGTTATTCCATAGTTAGAAAGTTGAATTATGATAGTCATAGGACATTGTTTGTTTTGTGAATGTCATTATTCTGTGTTCATTGGTGAATTAGTTAAGTAAATAAGAATAATTTAGTGTACTAGTATCATTAGTATAAAAAGTACGTCATAGATAAGTGTCAACTTTCTTGTTTTTCATGTATATTCTTTATTTGTTCTTATAAAAGTAACTAAAATGTAAAAATTAGAAATTTATTAGGTTAGGTAATGCTAGATTTATCTGGATTTTATTATGAGGTTATAGATTAGGTAAGGTAATGAAAAATAATAAAAATAAAAATTATTCATAAGGTATGCTCACGAGCAGCTTGTGCATTATGTCATTAAATAACCATGCATTCACCAACTGGTTTTCAACTTTTATGACAGATTATTAGTTAGACACAGGTCAAAGGGCAATAAAATAGTAAAATTAAGTATAAATAGATGTATACTGTTATAAGTTTTAAGCTATTTAGGATAAATATCAGTCATTCTAGAATGGAAAAAAGGGTAATTTATATTTTTATTTGTATCTTTTAATGGTGGTTACAAGGTCAGTCAAATTGACCAAATGCATATATAGAATATAAAATAAGAACCTCCTGTCTTTTCTATTTACTGAGATATGAAAATCAAACACAGTGGCCCCCACCCACTCCTTCCATTTTTGGAAATAATTGCTTATGTACACCTGCTTCGCTCTATCATGTGTTTATAACCAACCAAACGCTCAGAATTTCCCCCAAATGGTTTTCTCAGACTATTCAAGGTGTCTGTTTTCCAATATTAAGCTTTTTGTTTCCAATCTTAGAAGGAATGGTTAAGAGAAAACTGTTATTGATAAACAATATTTTTTTTAGACCAAAATAAAGTTTATTTAATAAGCCTGATAATTTACAGTGGAATCTGTGATATTGGTAGGGTAACTTATAATTTTTTGTTATTTCAAAATGCATATATAAAACCTACAAAAGTTATTTTGTTTTACATCCTCCACATGTGAAATTCAGCAAGGTTTAGCATGTAAGGTACAAACTTTTAACAAATATAAGTAGTAGAGATCATTGTTTTCTATATTTCTTTACTTAGTGTTCTATGTTTTAAGAAAAATATCTGAAACTTAAGAATTTATTTGCAAATAATCATAAGAAAAATACATATGCAATGTATTATAACTGAAATGTGGCTGTATTTTACAAAATGTCATTCCATTTGCACAAAGCCAAGGCAGATCACTTTGTAAACTCTAGTATTATGTTATTAGATAAGGTAACATGAGATGCATGTGTCCTGTGATTGCAACTTCTGTAATGTTTGTCAGACGCACCTGAAAGATCAATAAAAAAAGTAATGAATATATATAGATGTATAATGTTATGAGATTTATGCTATTTAGAATAAACATTTGTGATTTCATGTTACAATTTATAGTCATTCTGGGGTGAAAAAGGCACAACTTTTATCTTGTTTCCTAATTTTTTATGGTGGTTACAAAGTCGGTCAATTTGATCAAACCTGTACAGAGTTAAGATAGAGAAAATTACAGATAAAATATAAAGTTTTTCTAAAAACACGTTTGATATTTATCTGTATTTTATTTGGAGGTTATAGATTTTTTGCAAATGAAATTTGACAATTTTCAGATACATAAAGGTATTTTTAATCTTAAAATCAAATTTACTTTGCATGTGGGATAGTTAACATTCCAAAAAAAAAATTGCACGAGCAAATTAATTAAATGATTTTAAAACTTAATTTAGAAATCTGATATCTTGTGTATGAGAGCCTTATTATGTTTAATGATAATCTGCCAAATTTTGTGAAGATATGTAAACTGTATTAACATTTATAGTATGGAAACTATAACAACCACAAAATGGTTACAAGGTCAGTTCCTGGGACCAAACCTGTAGTGAAAAGTTTATACAACCTATAACCGTGTATTTCAAAGAATTTCCTAAATTGCTGTCATCAGAATTGTCTACATATAATCCTTTGTTCCAACCAGAGCTCTAAAATCATCCATTTTATTCCTAGCATTACAAGAATAACAGTTAAATCCAACATTAAAACTACTTTTGTACTTTGATCCTACATTATACTTTTCTCTACATATTTTTTTTTCTTCATTATTCTAGCTCACTCCACTGTCTAGCCCTAGTTTATAGCTGCCCTTACAGTTGAGTTAATAGCTCTAGTAAACAAACCAGCCCCTACCTTATTTAAATGTAAACTATCCATTAAAAAAAAAGTTCCCTTTTCCCATTGAACTGACCTTCAGCAAATGATAGTATAAAGGGGTAGAGAAATACTTTGTCATCTTTAGTTTTCTTCATAGAAGTTCTATATGTGTACTTTTGTGTAATTCAAAACATCTATTTTAGTTTGTAATGGTGGTCATATAAATTTTATCCACTTTGTGTGCTTTTATATTTCAGAGTCTTTATTTTTTAGTTTTGCCACTCAGTGATTTTCATAGAAGGATTTTTATGGTCATTAGTTTGAAATTTAAAATAATTGTTTAATTAAGTAAAATGCATCCATTCAGCAATTATGAAGCAAGTGTAGTGAATTGTTAAGATTAAATATAGATAATTCCATCATGGAAAGTTCTGGAATTTTGTTCTTAGTTTTCAACCATAACTCCAAAAAATCATTGTTTGGTCTTAACTGCACTTGAATAATTTGAAAGTGGTACTTCTAAGTATTGTTATGAATATACAAATAAATTCAATGTTCTTCAAATGTGTGAAGTCTCAATTAAGTGATCTTACATTGTATGAATATCTTGTATTCTGGGCTTGTCTTTAATGAAGCACTGACAGTCTCTGAAACTGTGTGAATCGTCAATAATCTATAAAAGCAATTTTGTTTATGCACAGACAAGTGAATGAACATGTTTAACAGTATATTTTGGTTAAGCTGTATGATGTAATGTTATGTGACTTTTTAACATTTTGTAACTTAATTTTGAAAAAGGATATTAATTTCATAATTGAAATGGTTGTTTTCTACTTTTATATTGAAAAATGTTACATGACTCTTAAAATTTAAGTTTTGCTTTTAATTTCACTATAAATTTTCTAAATAAAAATGATAAACTTCAAGCAGTAAGGTAATAAAAATGATATTTCACAGGATTTTATTTGAGTCAATGTTTATCTTAAATAAATGTAGTCCTAACATATAAATCTAATTCTTGAATTTCAGGTTTTGGAAGAATACTCACCATCAGTGTTAAATATTGCTGAGGTGCTACTGAAATCACTAGAACCTATAATATCATATTTTGGATCTACTTTGTATCAAAAGGCATTTGTAACTTTTAATACATTTTGTAAACAGGTTAGTATCAGAAAGATATAGAGAAATCATCAGTAGTATCATCTGATAAAGCTTAATGATAGACTATGTTTATAATCAAAGATGGTTATACTAATCTAATTACTCACTAACCCTTTAAACACTTTCCTGCGCAAGTCACTGTGTTACATTCAAAGTTTAATTAAACAGCTTTACTATCAGTTTATGATTTGAAGTTTTATGTTATCTAAGTTTTAAGTTCTTTATTTCAAAAGAAACCTTTGAAAAACTACTTAAAACTTCTGATTTATTTTCACATAACCAATGAGTCATGAAAATTCTCTAGTTTGGCACTCTGTACCTTCATTAATGCAATTGCAGTTCTTTAGATTATGTCTAGACTATAAGATACATAACCTTTCTTTTGACTCGTACATTTCAAAGTTCTCTGAATGAATACAGTTGAAACAAGTAATAAATTGTTTCAACCCCTGATAGGTGCCACACCAACAATCGACAGATTTGTTTGAGCTTTGTAGCCTACATGAAGACGTTACATACACATTTGTATAGTCATTAGAAAGAGCTCATTTTACACTATAATCAAGGAGTACATGTAACTGATTGTAGTATTATTGGCTGCTTGATTGACTATAGCACTTACTGTTGTTTCTTACCTAAATATATTATAGTGAGAGATACAGTTTAAATTGTATTTAGATCTGATATATTTATATTTCAGTTAATTATGTATTCTTTGTTTTAAAATGCATAATTGTCAGGTTTACACATTTTCTTTAACAAATTTAAACAAATTCTTCACGAGAATTTTGCCAAAGAATTGCACCTGTAAGCCAGAGACGACATAATATGCCTCAAGGGTACTGTTGACTTGTGTTGAGATGAATAATAAGTGGTATAGGACAAGAAAGGAAAATAAAATATTAAAAATGAACTATGAGTGAAAAGGAAAAGACCTGAAACTACGAATTTAATAAAAAGTTTTTTTTTTCTTTTCTGTTTCCTAATTTTAATTATTTCATTGCATTATATATTGATGATAATAACTAGAGTTAGTGATATGGTAGAGAAAATTAAAATATAAACATTTACCTTAAACTTTTTGATATTCATTTAGGATGCTCCAGAGGTTATGCAAATGAAATATGTAAACTATAAAATGAAGAAAAGTATTTTTATACTTAAAATGCAAATCACCTTCACTCAAACAATTTTAACAGTTTGAGTGCAGGTAACTACTATAGATGAATAACATTTTTATTAGAAAGATGTAATTATAATAATGTCATTTTTTTGTGTACAAAATACTTATAAATGCTCAGAGTTGCCATATGTTTTTTGCACAAATGTCCTTCCCCCAGTCAAAGTGATGCAAACTGTATCAGCCCGTGCTGAAAGATTTAATATTTTTATAGATGTAATTAACAATTCAGAATTTAATAAAACATTTTAATATCAATTTATGTCAGTAAACCTTGCATAAAAATGTAGATTATAATTCAAACTTTTATATTGTCTGAGTTTTAACTTATTTCAAAAAGAAAGCACCTGAACTCTGACTTTTCCCATTCAAAATTTTGTAATGTCAAATATAGGCGGCTACAGTTTCTAAAGTGGCCAGGTGGTTAGGGTGCTCGACTCGCAATCTGAGGGTCGCGGGTTCGAATCTCTGTCCCACCAAACATACTCGACCTTTCAGCAATGGGGTGTTATAATGTGACAGTCAATCCCACTATTCGTTGGTGAAAGAGTAGCCCAAGAGTTGGCAGTGGGTGGTGATGACTAGCTACCTTCCCTGTAGTCTTTCACTGCTAAATAAGGGATGGCTAATGCAGATAGTCCATTATTTTGGTTTTCAGTTGTAGCTTAAAGTTATGATGTATTTACTTGAATTTTTACATGCTTGTTTAAAATTGGAGGAGGCATTTTGCTTGGAGGATTTTGTTTCTGTTGTAGCTAATGGAACATATAATAATTGATAAAATGACATGTTGTTCAAGTTAACCTGAAATAAATTATTTGTAATTGCTTAGTAGGTGTTTATACTTTTATTTCATTATCAGCATTAATAACGAGAGAATGATAAATAAAAGAAGTAATATTATTTAAAACAAAACAATTTTTTGAACAATAAATTATTCAAATTAAACCCATTATTTATTTATAAACATAGCTGCATATTTAACTTAGGTTTCCCTAATATTTGTTGAATTACAGGAAGTTATTAGTAATCTGGTTACACATGTTGGAAGTGGGATAACTGCAGAAGTGGATGCTGCACTTGATACACTTGTAGTACTTGGGGATCAAACTACAGAAAAAATGGCTTCTTTTGGTACTTTTATTAAGGTAGAACCTGAATTAATTTTAATATTGTATTATTGAATAAAATAAGAAGACTCGCTAATGTTTTCATATTGGTTGATAACCCTCTAAAGTTAATTCTGTAGAGAAAGGGTTGACTTGCTTTATCTTATTCTTACTTTATGTTAATTTTTCACGATGATGAGAATTATAAAGTAGAATTCTCTGTAGTTCACTTAAATTATCACCTCGTAAAACAGAAATGAATGAGACATCTTACGACCAAGTATTAAAATTCTAGTAAGTCTTTTGGTGCAGCCCCCTGGTTAACAGAGCACATATAGACCATTGTGTAGCTTTGTACTAAAATAAACAAAAAAACCTTAGCCTTTGCAGTTAATTTGAGTTTAATATTTTATAATGTGGAAGCATTTTTATGTGTTGTATGACTTTTATGTGTTTTCTAGAGTATCCTGGACTTTTTGGACAACCTTACTCTAAGCCAAATAAAAAAGGTATACACAGTATTAAGTGTACTAGCTTATCAAGGAGGTCAAGAAGGACATAAGTTACAAGTAAGTGAAATGATTAGAAATTTTAACTAAACAAAATAATCACCTAAATCAGTGGACACAAATAAATTGTCAAGATCTGTTAACACAGTTATAGATTCCTAAAAATACAAATGATTGAGTGAGATAGCTAGAAATGAAAATATTGAAAAAAGTATCAAAAATAGAAATAAAACTTTTGAATTGTGTAAATGTTGTTAAATAGATACAATTTTAGTTTAGTGTTAGTTGTTGAGTAATGTTTTAAGTATTATATGGTCATATTTTGTGGAAAAAAATTAAGTGAAAATTTATTTAATTGAAAAAAGTTTTGCAAAAATAATGGTGCTGTTTATTTCACTTCAATATTGTTATATTCATATCTATGTCAAACTGAAAATATTAACTAATTATTTGAAAATCTTGTTTAAATCAAAGCCCTAAAGATGCATTTTTTGTTTTACAATTCAATGTAAGCAATGAAAAATGTATAATAAAGAAGATTATGTTCTATCTGAAATTCCCGCCAAACATGCTCGCCCTTTCAGCTGTGGGGGCATTATAACATGACGGTCAATCCCACTATTCATTGGTAAAAGAGTAGCCCTAGAGTTGGCGGTGGGTGCTGATGATTAGCTTCCTTTCCTCTAGTCTTATACTGTTAAATTAGGGACAGCTAGCACAGATAGCCCTAGTGTAGCTTTGCGCAAAATTCAAAACAAACAATCTGAAATCTAACAGCATTTATGCATTGTATTGACATTATTTGGTTGGCTAGAGGATGCTAAATGCTTTGTTGGCTATAAATTATTACTTAGTTGAGTTGTACATGTTGTATTAATGACTTTCATTACTGTAAGTTATACATCAGTAAAAGTATTATTGAATATTAGAAAAGAAGTCATTGAATAAAGAGTTTATTGAATATCATATTAAATTACAGGGTTATATTTGTACATTCTTAACCCTCTCACTATGGGCTTGATCAGTGTGACCAACCTTGTAATCCTAAAGTAACCATCAGTTTCTATTGTGTAACTATTATATTTTGTGTATCTTCATGAAATTTAGCAAGCTTTCAGTAAACATTACAGGTCTTTTGTACACAAAAAGCAGATTTTTAATTAAGTGTTTTTCATTAAAATGTGTCTATCAATATATGGAGTCAGAGTTTTGACTGTTCTAAGTGCAAAATGATTTTCATGTTAAGATTAAAAATACTTTTCTTCATCTGAAAATTTTGAAATTTCATTTGCATAATCTCTAAAACTTCCTATACAAATATCAAACGTTTTTTTTTTTTCAGTAAAACTATATTTTATCTGTTATATTCTCTACCATAATTCTATATGCGTTTGGTTGATTTGACCAACCTTGTAACTATAAACAAAAATTGAAATAAATCTAAATTACTTTTTTTTATTCTAGAATGACTGTAAATTGCAACATGAAATTGCAATTGTTTATCCTGAATAGCTTACAACTATTCACAGTATATGTTTGTTTATACTTCATTTTATAGTTTTATTGCCTTTAGACCCTTGTCTGATTAATATTCCTGCTACACAGTTTGTAAATTACTTGGCGAACATGTAGCTTACATTATCGTATTGAATGATATAATGTGCAAGCTGCTCGCTATCATACCTCATAATGATTTTTTTTTCATTATTTTATCTAATTTAACCTAATAAGTTTCTGATTTTTGCAATTTAGTTACTTTTATATGAATAGATAGAGAACATACATGAAAAACCTGTTACTTGGTTTTTTGCTGTATGTCGATGAAATGTAAGCCTACTTTTTAGACTAATGGTACTCGTACACTAAAAAATTTTTATTTACTTAAGTAATTCACCTAAGAACACAGAATAATAACATGCACAAAGCAAACAATGTCCTATGACTATCATAATTAATTTTTCTAATTCATAATTCATCTTATTTTGTTTAGCTTGATGATCTCAAAACCATGAGAAGCTTTCAAACTAAAGATGAAATAGACAATACTCTATAAAGAAAACAATGTAATATAACATGCCATTTGGTAGATTAAAACCTTGGCTTTCTACTGGTTACTAATAATGTAGTATAAAACGTTAAAGAAAGAGAATTATTGTCAGTTTGTGAAAGAGACTATGTGATAAGTGGGTCTGATTTTCTAGTTTATGACCTTGTAACAAATAAGATTGAAGGCTATAAAAATTATGCTTTGCCTTAGTAATACTGATATTATAACAAGTAGTTTACATTAAATTCCATGCTTCTCAGAAAGGTGGTAGTCAAATTAGAGAAGAGGGAAGGCCTAGAGAACAATTGCCACAATTTTCATACTAGAAGAGATTGAGAATTATTTTTCATATTCCCTTACAAAATTAAGAACTTAAAACTTATATAATATTAAACTTTGATTTAATAACTATGTTTTGATACCAAGTTTATTCATATATACTGATAATAAAATAATTTAATTGAATTTCGAATGTAACTTTAAAAAGTTGTGATGTGCAGTTTGACCTACCCTTAACAAGAGGGTTAAATTGTTAAGAATTCAAGCATTTATAGTTTGACCTTTTTAAAGTAATAAAGTAACTTTTTTTTACAGGATGATATTTCAATTATGATAAGAAAACAGCTTACCAACACAAACCCAAAGTATGTATGTTAATGTTTTTTTTTTATTTATACTCAATTGTCACTCCTTGCATAGTATTATGTCTTCCTAACATTTTTCTGATGGGATTTATTTTAGTTTAGATTAAGAATGGTAAAACTTAACAACAGCAACAAATTGCTGTGTAGGCCTATCTTTTGTATAAAGCAGACTAGTTCATCTGGTGTTACAAGTTGTTATAAAAAACTTGAACAACCGGTTCAAGCTTGCAACCATTTTAGTTTTACTGCCACAAACAAGGGCTTGTCTGAGGAAGGACATCAGTAGCAAAATATGTGAATCTAATGTCAAATAAAAGTGACATTTAATGTTGCATATAGTGTGGACACTTTTATACTTGATGAACAGTTTGGTCACCATGGCTCAAAATAGTATAGTATTACTTTTTAAGCCTGGCATTGTTTTATACTTTGCTAGTACTACAAAATAAAGTATGTTTTTTAAGAGTGCAGACTGTTACTAAATAGTTTATACCATAATGAAATAAAGAAATGTAAAAACTTGGTACCTCTGATAGTTTGCTGTGTTCTTAAGAAACAGATTCTAATTAGTGTCTAGGTACATGGGGTCCTTGTTATACGTCATCTCGATATAAGTTGTTTTGCACTTACGTCGCTGGAACACAACGTTAAATTCCCCACACATACATCTTTTATAGTTTTTGACTCGGTTCAGCTTAACTCTCTCAACACAGGCTTGATCAATTTGACTGACCATGTGACCTCTTTGTACTCTTTAGTCTTTATAGATGTAATACTTCTAACTTGCAATATAGTGTGTATATCCTCACAAAATTTGGCAGTCTTTCAGTTAACATTATAAGTCTTTCACATATAAAAAATCATATTTTTTTATTGTTGATGACACTTAACCCTACTTTTTTAATACTAATGGTAGTAACAGTAAATAATTTTAATTTAATTAAATAATGCACCAAAAAACATGCAAGTAGAAAAACAGACAACCCTGAAATTTTTATTTAAAAAGACACCCAAGGAACCCAAAGCAGGCCCTTCTGGTACTGAAGTGAAGGAAAATTCTGAGCCTGCATTTTTTATAGAGATAAAGATGGCAGATGACAGTGATGTTGATGACCTTACAGCTGCAACTCCATTCTTATCCTCTGCCTAATCCTCTCCCAACACCTTCTCAATCAAGCAAATCAAGCACAATGCATACACCCCCTAAAATAAGAACATAAAAATTAAAGGTTATGGTAAAATCTTTTTAAAATGCTGTTTAATATTCTATGATTTTTTTACACTAAAAACGGTTTTCTGTTTTAGTCATTGCTTAAAAATGCAACAACTATGTTTTCTATTAAAGAAGGAAAATGTTTTAAAGTGTACCGGGCTGCTTCAAAGTGCTCATAAAAATGGTTTTCAATGAAGTGTTTGGTGATATAAATGCTGTTTAAAGGCTCTTGAACTCAGAATTAGTTGTAAATATGTGTACATTATGTGTTGTATAGTACAGTACGTATTTTTGTTGCTAGGTATAAAACACAACATTTTCTTAAGGTATGGTTCCTATTAAATACCATATTTCATTGTTTCTTATAAGAGAAATTGCTCTGCTTTGCATAGGCAATATTTACGCTCTTACAGTCCATATCCCCTCCATTTCCCATTATTCTTATGGGAGAAAATTCCCCATTATACATCGTGTCATTATAAGTTGCAGTCCATATCCCCTCCATTTCCCATTATTCTTATGGGAGAAAATTCCCCGTTATACATCGTTTCATTATAAGTTGCAGTCTATATCCCCTCCATTTCCCATTATTCTTATGGGAGAAAATTCCCCGTTATACATCGTTTCATTATAAGTTGCAGTCTATATCCCCTCCATTTCCCATTATTCTTATGGGAGAAAATTCCTCGTTATACATCGTTTCACTATGAGTTGCAAAATTCTGGTCCCTAACTCCGATATATAACGAAGACCCCCTGTACAGCATCATGATGCAAAGGGAAGAAAAGATTATACAAAATCTTTTTACAGTTTTTTTAAGTTAATTTATTTAACAGTAAATTTTGATATTTTATAAATCTTAAGTACAACGTTTATTGTAAAGAGTTTTGGATAACTTATACAATTTTCTGGGGTTAAAAATAATCTTATGACTGATTAGAATACAACCAAAGTCTAAACTTGAAAATGTTCTTTATTACTACATATTATTATGCCATCAATGGCTAACAATGAAAAACAAAACAAATTGTTTTCAAGTAGTATATTGTTGATTTTAAAACTGTATTGTAGATTGCTGGTCCTTAATACAGAAATTGTGTAAGTTGGTTTTCTTTGGCTATTACTTAACCAACTTTTTACATGCACTAGTGTAATCATTTTAAAATTGAAGTCAATTTGCCAAATAAAAATTGGGTATAAATTATTAAGTGCACATATCTGGCAACTGCAATAGACACAGGAGGAATGGATGGTTTGAGTGAGTTGGTTTATTTATAAATATATAGGTTTAAATGTCAACTTGCAACAGTATCAGGTGTGGCTAGTCGTCTGGAGCATGTCAGACTGTGGAGTGAAGGGTGCAACTGAACATATCCAAGAATTTCATTTGTGGGAGTGTTATAAAAGTGACAGTAAATCCCATTATTTGACTCAAAGAGCTGAGAAAGTCCTTGTGGTGGCAGAATGCTGGCTTGTTTCTTTCCTGGGCATTAGTGTAAAATTAGGGATGATTATGTTAAGCCATAGGAGTTTCTGACTTGGCTGTTTATCTCATAAGGTGCTTGTTAGGTTGAAATAATAATAAAGTTATTTTCTAAGCATTTAAAATCACAGGAAAAAAAATTTGCTCAAAAATAATGTTATATGTTTATAAGTTCATTCTCTTGTCATGAAAGGAAAGAAAAAAGTTTATTTGTTTACAAGAGTATTTTTGAAACATAAATGCAGTATTTTAGTTTCTTTTCTGAGCTTTTAAATTTCATATTCATTTAATTAATACATCCATATATTTTGGTAAAGTTAATACTGAAATGGAAACTATGATAGACTAAAAAAGGTTTTAATCAGTTACTCTTTTTAGGTATCAGAGAATGGGGGTTATAGGAGCTCTGATGGCTTCTAAATCCATGGCAGCTGCTGGGTAAGTTTAAAATCACTGGGTATAGTGTATTTACAAATATATGTCCTCATAGTAGAAAGAGTTAATTTTGAAAAATGAGCCTGTAGTTTTAACCTATTGTAAAATTTCTCTAAGTCTTCTTGAAGGGTGAATACATCAATAGAATTTCTTATTGGAACGAAATTTGTTACCTTTATATTCTTTTCTTTCCACCATTGTTCTTCACTCTTATTAAGTTCACATACCTTTTATTGTTGTATCCCTTTGAACAATATTATCTGATGCATGTGTTCATTCATTTTCTTACATTGTTGCCCATATTTATGTTCTAAATTTTGATTTTTTAAATTTAGTTGATTTACTACAATTAACTGTATTTATACAGTTTTATACTTTTATTATTATTTTTCATATGTTACTTCCCTTAGCTCATTCGTGGTTTCAGGAACATGTTATCGAGCCTTCAATCTACGTGTTATTTGGTCTTTCAACCTAACCCTTATATTAACAGTTTCATTGTCACTGGTAACCTGAAGAAGGGCTGTTGCCAGAAACGTCGTTTTCTTGTTTCATTGACAAAGTTATTTTAATTTGGCAAGTTTTTCACCACTACTTTATATTCTATTTTGCAATATATTATCCAAAAGCTTCATGTAACAAATAGAAAATGAGTAAAAATGCCAGAATGAGTTACTTAGTTAGTGACTCAATAGGTTCAAGTTTTATATTCTTAATTGTAATTATGTATATTTTGTGTTTCTAATTGGTTGTGAGTCTTGGCATCGTTTTTTTGGTATTAGAAAGCTATAAAAGGGAGAAATTGAAGCTGAGCAATCTTGAATTAATAAAAGAAATAACAATGAGAAATCATAATGGTAGTATTTTGATTGATTTGATAAATATAATAATAGAAAATAGTAATTTGAAAATCTTAATTATTTTCAAGAGTCATGATACTAAAAATTTAAGCTGGACAAACTTGAATTAAACTAAAATAATAATCATAAATAATAATGGAAATATTTTGATCATTTGATTATTTCCGTGAAATTAGTCAATTATATTGTAATTTTGATTAACTGTTTATTTTACATTACAATTAATTGATGCTCATAGGAGGCAATTAATTGATTTAACTGTCCAGCTCTAGTACAAAGCAAACAAATTACACTTTATTATCCTTGAGAAAATGGTATTGTATTCAGCAAAAAATTTTAACTAATTAGTCACTATGATTTGTTTTATATCTCTCTCTTTTTCACCCTGTCTACTTTTTTTACATCCTAAGAAATGCATTAAACTTGCTCGTGGGTATCTGAGGAATATTTTCAGGTACATGTAAATCAAAAATTTTCATTATATGAAAAACTGGGCCTGCCATGGCCTGGTGGTTAGAGCACTTGACTCAGGTTGCAAGTTTGAATCCCTTCATTGAACATCCCTGGCTTTTTAGCTGTGGTGGCATTATAATTTGAGTGAAGTGGTGATGGTTGGTTTTCACTAGAGGCCCGGCATGGCCAGGTGGTTAGGGCGCTTGACTCGCAATCTGCGGGTCGCGGGTTCGAATCCCCGTCACACCAAACATGCTCGCCCTTTCAGCCGTGGGGGTATTATAATTTGACGGT